CCCACAGTATCCAAATGATACATACCATTACAGTAAACTACAGAATGTTTGGGTGAATCTATTCTGATCAAAAGAGGACTTAGAATTGTACACCAGTCCTATAATGGCCCTCAAGCCTTCTTCTTCTGCAGATGGACTAGACAAAGGATTAAGAAGCAACAACTTATTAGATTATGGAAGATGTGGCCACAGCTGGGAGGGAATTGGGGTAGTTATCAAACAGAGAGAGCATTTGTTACTGAGCCAAGTACTACTCAGGGCTCCAGCACAGGCAGTAAAGTTCAGTTCAGTCACTCAGTCATGTCTGACTCTTTGCGATCCCATGGGCTACACATGCCAGGCTTCCCTGTCTATCACCAATTCCCAGAGGTTACTCAAACTAATGTCCATTGAGTCAATGATGCCATCCAACCATCTCATCCTCTGTCATTCCCTTCTCCTCTTGCCTTCAATTTTTCCCAGCATCAGGGTCTTTTCAAATGAGTCAGTTCTCCATATCAGGTGGCCAAAGTATTGGAGTTTCAGCTTCAGCATCAGTCCTTCCAATGACTATTCAGGACTGATTTCCTTTAGGATGGACTGGTTAGATCTCTTTGCAGTCCAGGGGACTCTCTAGAGTCTTCTCCAATACCACAGTTCAAAAGCATCAATTCTTTGGTGTTCAGGTTTCTTTATAGTCGAACTCTCACATTCATGCATGACCACTGGAAAAACCATAGCTTTAACTAGATGGACCTTTGTTGGCAAAGTAATGTCTCTGCTTTTTAGTATGTTATTGAGGTTTGTCATAGCTTTTCTTCCAAGGAGCAAGAAGCATCTTTTAATTCCATGGCTGCAGTCACCATCTGCAGTGATTCTGGAGCTCAAGAAAATAAAGTCTCTCACTGTTTCCCATCTATTTGCCATGAAGTGATGGGACCAGATGCCATGATCTTAGCTTTCTGAATGTTGAGTTTTAAGCCAGCTTTTTCACTCTCTTCTTTCACTTTCATCAAGAAGCTCTTTAGTTCTTTGCTTTCTGCCATAAGGGTCATGTCATCTGCATATCTGAGATCATTGATATTTCTCCAAGCAATCTTGATTCCAGTTTGTGCTTCATCCAGCCTGGCATTTTTCATGATGTACTCTGCATATAAGTTAAGTAAGCAGGGTGACAGTATACAGCCTTGATGTACTCCTTTCCTGATTTGGAACCAGTCTATTGTTCCATCCCCAGTTCTAACTGTTGCCTCTTGACCTGCTTATGGGTTTTGCAGGAGGCAGGTCAGGCACTCTGGTATTCCCATCTCTTTAAGAATTTTCCACAGTTTGTTGTGATCCACACAGTCAAAGGGTTTGGCGCAGTCAATAAAGCAGAATTTGATGTTTTTCTGGAACTCGCTTGCTTTTTCGATGATCCAACAGATGTTGGCAATTTGATCTCTGGTTCCTCTGCCTTTTCTAAAACAAGCTTGAACATTTGGAAGTTCACACACTGTTGAAGCCTGGCTTGGAGAATTAATTTGCTAGTGTGTGAGATGAGTGCAATTGTGCAGTAGTTTGAACATTCTTTGGCATTGCCTTTCTTAGGGATTGGAATGAAAACTGACCTTTTCCAGTCTTGTGGCCATTGCTGAATTTTCCAAATTTGCTGGCATATGGAGTGCAGCACTTTCACAGCATCATCTTTTAGGATTTGAAATAGCTCAACTGGAATTCCATCACCTCCACTAGCTTTGTTCGTAGTGATGCTTCCTAAGGCCCACTTGTCTTCACATTCCAGGATGTCTGGCTCTAGGTAAGTGATCACACTATTGTGATTATCCGGGTCATGACAATCTTTTTTGTATAGTTCTTCTGTGTATTCTTACCTGGTGGTTCAGACAGTAAAGCATCTGCCTATGATGCAGGAGACCTGGGTTCGATCCCTGGGTGGGGAAGATCCTCTGGAGAAGGAAATGGCAACCCACTCCAGTACCCTTGCCTGGGAAATCCCATGGGAGGAGCCTGGTAGGCTACAGTCCATGGGGTCGCAAAGAGTCGTACATGACTGAGTGACTTTACTTCAATACTTTACTTCTGTGTATTCTTACCACCTCTTAATATCTTCTGTTTCTGTTAGGTCCATACTATTTCTGTCCTTTATTGTGCCCATCTTTGCATGAAATGTTCCCTTGGTATCTCTAATTTTCTTGAAGAGATCTCTAATCTTTTCCATTTTGTTGTTTTCCTCTATTTCTTTGTGTTGATCACTGAGGAAGGCTTTCTTATCTCTCCCTGCTATTCTTTGGAACTCTACATTCAAATGGGTATATCTTTCCTTTTCTTCTTTTCTTTTCTCAGCATTTTGTAAGGCCTCCTCAGACAACCATTTTGCCTTTTTGCATTTCTTTTTCTTGGGGATGGTCTTGAACACTGTCTCCTGTACAATGTCATGAACTTCAATCCATAGTTCTTCAGGCACTCTTGTCTATCAAATCTAACCCCTTGAATCTATTTGTCACTTCCACCGTATAATCGTAAGGGATTTGATTTAGGTCATACCTGAATGGTCTAGTGGTTTTCTCCACTTTCTTCAGCTTAAGTCTGAATTTTGCAATAAGGAGTTCATGGTCTGAGCCACAGTCAGCTCCTGGTGTTGTTTTTGCTGACTGTATAGAGCTTCTCCATCTTGGCTGCAAAGAATATAATCAGTCTGATTTGGTATTGACCATCTGGTGAGGTCCGTGTGTAGAGTCTTCTCTTGTGTTGTTGGAAAAGGGTGTTTGCTATGACCAGTGCGTTCTCTTAGCACAACTCTGTTAGGCTTTGCCCTGCTTCGTTTTGTACTGCAGGGCCAAATTTGCCTGTTAGTCCAGGTATCTCTTGACTTCCTACTTTTGCATTCCAGTCCTCTATAATGAAAAGGACATCTTTCTTGGGTGTTAGTTCTAGAAGGTCTTGTAGGTCTTCATAGAAACATTCAGCTTGAGCTTCTTCAGCATTACTGGTTGGGGCATAGACTTGGATTACTGATATTGAACACAGAGTGCTGCAAAAAACTGTTCAGTCTCCCATCTCATGCTGCATTTGTACTTTTCCTTATTTCATGTTACAAATAAGGTTCATACATTTAGCAGGAAGAGGGAAACAGGCCATGTGTGGCAACACAGTCTGAGATGACCTGAAAAGAACTCTGTTGACATCATGCATTACCATGTTTCACATATCAGGAAAGTTTTCTCTTTACTTAGCTCTTGGTCTCATGCAGGGAAGAATGCTATCACTCATTTTCTTTAGTGGCACCCAGTTTGGCTGGCATAGGCCAAGCTCAAGGTCTTGTCTGCACTGAAAATTAAATTTAAAGCAAACTCAGAAAAAATGTATAGAAAGAAACCTGTCTGCTCTTACGACTATGTGATTTAACCCACTGCATGTGGACAAGGCTGGCTTGTTTTTTGATAAAGTAATGGAAGGTGGTTAGAGACATGGATCATCATTCTGAAATATGAATCAACAATCATGTTTTACCTTGTCTTTATATTTAAAGGCCTTTTCTTGAATTCTTACAGAATGTTCAAACTACCGCACAATTGCACTCATCTCACACGCTAGTAAAGTAATGCTCAAAATTCTCCATGCCAGGCTTCAGTAATACATGAACTGTGAACTTCCAGATGTTCAAGCTGGTTTTAGAAAAGGCAGAGGAACCAGAGATCAAATTGCCAACATCTGCTGGATCATCGAAAAAGCAAGAGAGTTCCAGAAAAACATCTATTTCTGCTTTATTGACTATGCCAAAGCCTTTGACTGTGTGGATCACAATAAATGGTGGAACATTCTGAAAGAGATGGGAAGACCAGACCACCTGACCTGCCTCTTGAGAAACCTGTATGCAGGTGAGGAAGCAACAGTTAGAACTGGACATGGAACAATAGACTAGTTCCCAATAGGAAAAGAAGTACGTCAAGGCTGTATATGTCACCCTGCTTATTTAACTTATATGCAGAGTACATCATGAGAAATGCTGGGCTGGAAGAAGCACAAGCTGGAATCAAGATTGCCGGGAGAAATCTCAATAACCTCAGATATGCAGATGACACCACCCTTATGGCAGAAAGTGAAGAGGAAATAAAAAGCCTCTTGATGAACATGAAAGAGGAAAGTGAAAAAGTTGGCTCAACATTCAGAAAACTAAGATCATGGCATCTTGTCCCATCACTTCATGGGAAATAGATGGGGAAACAGTAGAAACAGTGTCAGACTTTATTTTTTGGGGCTCCAAAATCACTGCAGATGGTGATTGCAGCCATGAAATTAAAAGACGCTTACTCCTTGGAAGGTTATGGCCAACTTAGACAGCATATTAAAAAGCAGAGACATTACTTTGTCAACAGAGGTCCATCTAGTCAAGGCTATGGTTTTTCCATTGGTCATGTATGGATGTGACAGTTGGACTGTGAAGAAAGCTGAGTGCCGAAAAATTGATGCTTTTGAACTGTGGTGTTGGAGAAGACTCTTGAGAGTCCCTTGGACTGCAAGGAGATCCAGCCATTCCATCCTAAAGGAGATCAGTTGAGGGTGTTCATTGGAAGGACTGATGCTGAAGCTGAAACTCAAATACTTTGGCCACCTCATGCGAAGAGTTGACTCACTGGAAAAGACCCTGATGCTGGGAAAGATTGAGGGTAGGAGGAGAAGGGGACGACAGAGGATGAGATGGTTGGATGGCATCACTGACTCGATGGACATGAGTTTGAGTAGACCCCAGGAGTTGGTGATGGACAGGGAGGCCTGGAGTGCTGCGATTCATGGGGTTGCAAAGAGTCGGACACGACTGAGCAACTGAAGTGAACTGAACTATCCTAAATCATTACTTTTCTAATGGTAATCTCAAGAATTGGAGTACAGGAGGACAACTCAAAGCACAAAATCATATGATAAAGGATAAAATGGATATATGAATGTGAAACACATTTATTGGCCAGAATATACACCATTTTTCTGTGCAATAAATTAAATTATAGAAAGAGACTTCTTACCTGGAGTCTTGAAGTTCCTCAGCTGAGAGGGAGTGTCATAAACTTCTAGGATCCAGTCACCGGCAGCTCGTTCTCCCCAGCAATGAATGGTCATGAACTCCCAATTTTTAAATCCTTCCATGGAATGATCAAAAAGCCTGAGAGAGAGCCATAAAACATTGCTTTTGTGTGTTGTTTAAAATCTAGTGAGGGTCCAGTCAAGACCGTGATCAATGAATGACCTCTCTGTATCCATCACATGTTCAGTTCAGCCCTGGAGATTGTCTTCATCCTTGGCATCACCAATTAGCAGATCCAGGTAGACATACACACACACACATGCACAGAGATAATCGTTGGAAAACAGGCATGGGACTCGCCAATGTGGTAACAAATCTGGGAGGGATAATGACATGGGTATCAGGGAACCAAGGCTAAAACTCTGCCCACAAGCCTGATAGTACCAAGAATTGGAGATGTGTAGCTACTGAAGCTTGCTCACACTGCTGATAGATATGTAAAATGGTACAGGTGCTCTGAACAACAGTTAGACATCTCCCACCATATGACTAAGCTACTCCCCCCCCCAGATATTTATTTACCCAAGAGGAGTAAAGACATGTGTCCCCACAAAGAACCCCACATGAATGTTCACAGCAGCATTATTCATAATTATCAAAAACTGTCAGCAACTCAGATGTCCATCATCTGGTGAACGGGTAAATAAATTGTGCTATATTCATACAAGGAAACACTACCTAGTAATACAAATTTGAATGATTAATAACTGCAACAACATGAATGAATTTCAAAGGCATTAAGCTAAGTGGAAAAAGTCAGACACAAAAGATTATGTACTGTCTGATTCAATTTCATATGACATTATAGAAAACACTACTTATAACAGAAACAGATCAGTGGGTGCCACGGGCCAGGAGGGAGGAGGCAGGGGCATGATGGAAGTTTTGGGAATAGAGGAACAGTTTTATATCTTGAAACTAATGTATAGTTATGCAAGTATATATTTATCAAAACTTACTCAATTATTTACATTGAAAGTGAATTATATGTAAATTACCCCTAAATGAAAGGACCATGCCCATTAATATTACCCAGTTCAGGAAGTCATGCTTGGAACTGGAGCCTAGATTCTGTCCTTCCAGTCTGTCTAATAATTTTCTAATTCCCTGTATGAAATCTTTTTCTGCTTGAACCATGTCCAGTTACTAGGATATTATCTATCCTTCAGAGCAGATAAATACAAAGGTTACAACAACTGGATGTTGATAGCTATTTATGACATAAAGTCAACTCTCCTTGCATTAATTTCATGTTCACCAAGGAAACTGGTGGCTATAATTTGAACTTCTGTGTGGTTCTTCCCATTGGGAGAAAAATATGCCCTTCTAAAAACAAAACCAGTTTAATCTCATTGTAACTAATACATAACAACAACTCTGATTTTGTGTGTGTGTGTGTTATATAAATGTGTTTGAGGCTCCCTCTAAAATAGCAGCTGGCTTCTCAAGCTGAAGGGTTGGATGTGTAACTAGGGACTGTGTAAGGTAAGTGGCTGACACTTGGAGAAGAACAGTAAACAGAAAAATCACCTGTTACATGTTCCTGAGCTCTTGAAAGAAGAAAAAAGTTATTTTTAGCAGCATTCTCAGTGTCCCATGTCCAGAAAATTGAGAAGGCTGAGTTAAAGTTTAACAGATCTCTTTACTAGAGAATGTTACAGATCTTTGGAATATTCATATATGTTTTGTGACTTTTTCATATAAGTTTTGAAAATCACTGCCTCCATTCATAATGAAGGAGGCCTTTTTCTTTCTTTTTTTTAAAAGAACATCTGTACACTATCTGTAAAAGGTTACTTCTGAACAGAAGGGTGTGGCATTTCAACGAGGGCCATGTTGGATCGGGCAGCTTTCCCTCATGCTAACAGAGATGGAAATGGTGGCTCCTTACATGAATGTCTTCCCATTGTAAATGATCTTCAATAGATCATGGGTGGTACATAACATCCAGGAGATCCTACAATGCACGCACTATCACCGTAGGACTTGTTTCACAAGTTAACGCTTGAAACTGGACTTGGCCAGGAAGAAATTGCTGGGCTATTAAACAACTGACTTACATATTGAGTCCTTCATGCAAAACCCAGAAAGTGTGTGTTGGCTGAAATGGAGACACAGAGGTAGAGAAGAAGGAATGTTTTCAAATAACCCTTCCTGCCAGAGAGACGTTACTGAAGCGAACATGTTGATGCACAAATGGATGGAGGCAGAAAATTGGTCTAGAACCACTTCTCAGCCCTTCTCACTTCTAATTTTGGTTCCAGTTCATTGAGGCTGTTGTGCCATTTGAGGGCAGGGAAACAACAACTTGTCACGGAATACCTTTCCAAGAGTGCTGAACTTAAAAGCAATTCCCAAACAGTTTAGACAGAATCCTTGGCTCACTGCCTCAGGTCCAGAAACTACAAAGGAGACTTGAGGCTGCCATCACATGAGGGGCAGTCTTGTTTCCACAACCTCAGCCAACTCTTAATTACTCACGGGTCAGTTATTTGACTGCTGGATTAGCAGACCCTATGTTTCTTCCCTTACACCCTTTCCTCTCCAACTTTGAAAATCATTCCACTGCTATCAATCATTTTAAAATCATATTTGGAATGAAAATTAAATGTAAACTAGTACCCAGAAGAACTATCCATAATTCACTACTCACAAAAGTGTCTTAAAGCCCAAATATAAACGGGCTTTGTCTCTCTGGCTAAATAGTTCCCACCCTGGTCTCTTCACTTTATGCAGGGCTGGAATGCTCATTAATTTCATGTGGACATAAAAGTTGAGGAGAGGAATTAAAACGCAGCCAAACACAATCACTGCATTTTGCTAAAAGAGTTGATGAGGAGAGAAATAGACACTGATTGTTGTTGTTTCAACTAGCTGGGCATTGGCTTTTCTAATCCCACCCTTTTATTTTTATTCCAACTCGATACTTAATCTCCTCCCTATCTTTAGTACTGTACTGTTTAAAAACCTTGTGTTGTCTGCATATAACAAAAGGTAACATAGGTAGCAGATGAGATTCGTGTTGCAAAGAATATACTTGCTCAAACCAAGTGTCAAACCATTGGACGCCGCTATAGAGATTCTAATTGTGTGGCTGTTTATCAGCTAAGAGGTCCAGTGCTCTGTCTGAATGTCTGTGCTCTGTCAACAGAGAAGAAAACAGACACATGTCAGCATTATTAGTGTGGATCAGATGTTAATAAAGCAAGGCCAGTGTGCTGAAAGCTGGAGGAGATTAACTCCATGCCCGTGTCCATATCTCCTATTGCAGTGAAACCCTGTTCTGTCAATTTGACTTCATAATCGTGTGCTCACTGAAATGATATATGCATGCGGTGGCACAAATTATGTAGCCACTTATTAAAACGGTGCCCCACAGCCCTATCCCTGTGAGCGGTTTTCAAATAAATTGCTTGGATGAAACCTGGTAGAAAGGACTGCCATTAAATGTAGTACATCCTTTTGAGGATTACTTAACTCAGGAAATAACTCATATAATTACTGTAAGCTTTTTTCCTCCCCTTTCACTTAGAAGAGTCAGTCAAGGTGTCAGGGTTACCACATGCTTCTATGATGTTATGGCAACTAAATAATAAGACTTTATAACTACTGACAGCTATGTGTTATCATATTATTATTTCCTAAATGTAAATGGATATTAATTTCAGAATCATCCACGACTTCCTAGACAGTATTTGTGTTCACTACAGAATTAGACATTAATCGAATATTTTGGGAAATTCTCTTTTTTCTGTTTTCTTTTTTTAGAGCTTCATCACAATTTAACATAAAGCTGATAGAATGCGTAAAGCACTCATTTGGCTCAGTTGAAACTGAGCTTTTGATTTTCTTTAGATGTTTGCCTTTTGTAAGTTTTAAATAATTTACTTCTGAAATAGGGTATTTAAAACACACTATTAAGTTTTTTGCTCTCTCCTAAATCATTTCTTTAAGAAACATTGAGAGAAAGGTACTGGTTCTAGAATTTTGGAATACCTAAAAACACGAGTTTCAACATAAACTTTCAACATGTACACTATTACTAACTTACCAACCCCCAAAGGCATTCATCCTTGTGGGTACATGATAAGTACTTGTAAATAAGTACTTACTTAATCATCTTGAAGATTTATTCTTTAACAGTAGGCTTTATCTAAATATCTGGTTTACATTATAAATGCCTTTGTAAGTGACTTTCACAGCACCCAGCAGCATATTGCTCACAAGTCTTTTGGTGACATGAGAAGAAGAAGAAGAATGTGTTTGAAAAAGTTGGGTGATCTTTTAAATCAGTGCTATTTAAAAATGTGTTCTGCAGACAGGTTAGGAAGCTTCAGCATCACCTGTGAGCTTATGAGAAATGCAGATCCATGGGCCTCTCCCAGACCTTTAGAATCAGCCTCTGTGGGAGAAGGATCCTCATCTCTGTGTGATAGTCATTTGCAAGGTGTTTTGAAAAGCACTGTGTGAATAAGGATTAGCACTTACAAGTGCTTATTATACTAGGAGCTTACTGTATTATCTTATTTACTACTTGTAACAAACTTGTGAGGCAGATACAACTACGTCTGTTTTCTAGATGAAAAAAATCACTTTTCCAAAGTTGAAGATAAAAACGGGTGACATCAAGACAACCCCAGCTCTAACTCCAAAGGCTGTACTGTGTTTTGAATAAAGAAAGAAGCTTTTTCTCATGATGAGGCCTTGCTGGAATGTGAAACTTCCACAGCAAGAGTGTAATTTTGGCAAGTCATACCTGCATTTATATAGCATGACTTTGCAAAATGTCAGTAGCCTGTCACTGAACATTTGGGCAGTGACAAAAATATTCAGGTAGAAACACAACAGTTAAACACAGTTAATTATAGAAACTATAGGTTGTACAGATGAGAAAGTATACCTTCTTTCCACTTAAGACCATAATTAGAACCAGAGATACACATCTGTAATCAAATTTAGAAAGAGAGGCAAAGTTTCAGCTTTCAGTCAGAGGCCAAAATCTAGAACTGAGAGCCAATATAACTAAACTAAATCTAAAACCCAATGAGCTGAAGAAAGTATGTGGGTATTTAGGGAAG